TTTTTGAATGAGGGACATTTGTGTATGTCCATATATTAAGGTACTACCAAACATAAAAAGGAGCCGAATTTTGTCACAATTTTGGATTTTGTGGTTGATTGTATGCTGTCACAATAATATTTGATTATAGATTATATATAACCTAAGTTATAAATATCACAATTGAAATATGCCGAACCCGTAAATCATAATATCACGCATTTTGTCATTTTCCAATAATGCTATTTTTGTACTGTAATTATAATTTATTCAGGAACTTTCAAATTAAATTTTGGTGATATTAATTAATTGCAAATTTATTTATTATTATTTTTTGTAAGATGACATTTAATAAAAATGAAAGAAATGATACAATTTTAATATTGTGTATTTTTATAGTGATTCAAATTTCTAAAAATTATTATGCTCTTATTTTCGATTGTTGTGCTCGATATGTGCTTGTACTATAGTTCGATTCTACCAGTGAATATGGAATAAAAATATTTGTTGACTCAACACATATATACATACCCACATGTAGACGTGTTGATCTAACGATAAAATTAAAACTCGATAACTACAGTATAGTACTAGTGTCGCAACTTATGATAGTGCCAAAGTTATAATTAAATCGTTAAAAAGGTGAGTTGAATAAATCATCAGAAAAAAGTAAAATAAAATAAAGTGTCAAGTAGTATATTAGATGATGTTTCGATATTGTTCATGTTATTTGTTTATAATTCGACGAAAAAAAAAAGGTATTTGAATTCGTTTTCTAATAACTATTAAAATTTAGGTTCAGTCGTACTGTTCGATTAATGTAAGCAAAAAATCTGCCAAAATTGTTTGATAAATTCGAGTTCAATTTGCACTAAACTGTTGGAACTCAAAAGTTACTATTTTTTTTTTTTTTTGATAAAATAATAAATACTTTTGTATTATTATTGTAACAACAAATTTTAAAATTTCGTTGTCTACAATTATAATTGGGTTATGCTACATAGTCAACCTCCATTACAACTTGGTTTACAACCAAGTGTAATGAAGGCATTAAAAAAGTATATTTTTATACTTTTTTAATGTCTAAATTACACTTGATTATAAACCAAGTTGTAGGAGGTTGGCTAAGTAGCATAATTCATGATAATTTTCTATTAAAAATATTTTACATGCAAGTATAAGAATAAATAAATTATATATTAAATTATTGGTCGCATACATATATGCTCATAGTCAATCGTTTGACAATCGAAACTTCAAACTTAACTCTATTAATAAATAAAAAAAATCTACTCGAGCATTATTCGAGCTTGAATGAGTTTTTGGTCGAGTTATATACGAACGAGTTTTATTCGAGCTCGATTTTCTGTTTGATTCTTTTGTAACAAAAGTGACTGGGAGACAAAATTTCATCACAGCAGGTTAATCTCTTAAACAAAGATTATATAGCACCTATAGGGAAGACTTGCTTATATTATTGAAAAAAGATATATAGAAGCCATTTGTCTGGGGAATTGTTTTATGCTTTCTCCTAAAGTATAAAACAAATTTTTAATTAGTTAGTCACACTTTAATTACTTTTATTTATTTATTTATTATTGTCTCTGTCTCCAGCATTCGGAGGGAAACATGGTGGGTGGTCTTCCTTTTTTCTTATATTTACCCCACATTTTTATTTATTTTATTTTATTTTATCTTATTTAAAGGGGATGTGGAAAATGACTAATGAGTGAGTAATTTGTAATTAAATAGCTTTTATTTTCTTTTAAATAAAAAAATTAACCAATAAAAGACATTTGTAACTAAAAAGCTTTTATTTTCTTTAAAAACAAAAAAAAAATTAACCAACAAAAGACAAATCTTGTCTATTCACATAAAGTTTCATGTATGTTCATGAATTAGGCAAAATTGTCCCTCATATCATGATATTTTTTGAAATTGCAATTTAATCACAATTTCTTCACTTTTGCAAATTATATCACAATCTCTAGTATGATAATCAGCTTTAGAAAAGTTGATGTGGCCGAAAAAAAATTGAAGATTGTGATATAATTTGCACGATGTATGCAAACAGTGCACCAATTTGCAACAAAATAAAGAATGTGATGTAATTTGCATAAGTAAAAAAAAAATCGTGATTAAATTACAATTTTAAGAAAAATTCGTGATATTAGGGACAATTTTGCCTATGAATTACGTACCCTCAAAAATTTTATTTCTATCGGTGTCAATATATCCAAAAATTAATGTAGCCCGAGAGAAATATATCATACACGATGTGTATACATGGGCGAAACCAGAAATATAGTTGAGACGGGGCAAAAGACATGACCTAATTTGTAAAAGATAATAAAATGCTTAAAAAAAAGTTCCCTAATAATTACAATTGTTGATCTTGTGAGTGACGTTTAAAATAAAAAAAAAATTGGAGGTGCAAAAATTTATTTAAGAGGGGGCAAATTAAAAATTTTAACATTAATATTACAAAAAATAAAATTTGAGGGGGGGCAATTGCCCCCTATTGATACATGTAGATTCGCCCCTGTGTGTATATAGCTAAAAAAAATCAATATATCTAATAATGGACAAATTTTTTAATTTGTCCACGAGGATATATATATGTGAATAATTTCATTATTTATTTCACAAATTGCATTCTAGTATATATGAAATATTCACTAAATAATAAATGGCAAAGTTTTGAAGTGTTTCCTCTTTATCTTTCTTTTCTTGAGCAATATAAAATTTAAAAATAGAAGCCATTTATTCAAGTGCCTTTTTTTCCAAAAAAAAAAAATAAATAAATAAATAAATAAATAAATAAAGTTTATGGTACACGAGGCAAGTTAGTGCCATGATTCCCTGAAAACTTTTATTTTCTGCTACATTTTTTTCAAATGGAAGCAAAAAGGATATCACACAATGTCACTTTTGCCTTTAGGCTCTCATCTGTACATTTTAACCCAAATCCTGAAAGTACTTCCATGAAACTGTTCTTTTTTTTTTTTTACAGTTCAACACTGTCAAATCCATACTT